TAGTATGTATTTACAATTAATCACTAATTAATAATAATTATGCACATTTGGTAACTGTATATGTAATTATTTCTGCAATTTTAAATGAATGAAATTAAACTAAAGAAAAATAAATGCTTCATTTTAAATTAGTGCAAAAGTTTTTTCATCAATATTTCTTTGTATTTTAATAGCTTTATTATTACAATACAGATATATGAAATAAATTTATAATTTTATTTCAAATCTAAAATTTGAAAGATATAAATTTTTAAATTATATAAATTTTTTAAATATTTGATAAACATATTTATATTATTAATTATAAACTATCGGGCTTATAAAGCTCAATGAATACTGTATACTTTCCAAGGTTTGTAATGTTATAGTGGTTCTAGCAATTTGCAAATACATTTTATATTTTTTTTACTTGGATTAATTTTTAATTCATACTATTTTATAAATGCTTTGCCTAATTACTATATTATAGTATATAAACAGTTATACAAGAAAATATAAAAGTTTTTAAAGATTTTTAAATCTGATATCATTTATATTTTTTAGTCATATTTTAAAAAATTATAGTATAATAAAATCTACCTACAAAAATAAAGGATAATTATATATATAATATATACTTTATGTACATGTAAACAAAATTATACTGTCGATCCTTTTGATTATAGATTTTGATATAAATGATACATTTGATATATGAGTGTACCTACATGTAACAGAGTAATTATTATTTTTTTGTCTATACATGTTGATTTAATATAAATAATTTTTAATGTGGATTATCTATTCCCAAGACTACGTCAAAATAATTTTATTTTATTATGTACATTTGCATATATTAATATTTATTAATAATTTAAAATTAATAACATACACTTATTCTTGTAAATGAAGAATTTGACTGATTATTAGTATTATATTATGAGAAAATGTATAGCATTAAATAAATTATTAAGCTTTAATTATAGTCACAATGTCTGCAATAGTTATCTTATTTAATTATTAGTAGAATATAATCTAAAATATAATTAAGCTTGTTAAAGTATATAAACAATGTAAAAGGCATAAATCAAATAATTCATACACAATTTTTATCACAAATATCTGACAGAGTTGAGTCATTATGCAGAAACAACATAAAACTTTTTATAGTATGACTTATCACATAGTTAGAGAAGTTTAAAATAGTATATATTTAAAAGGTCAAAATATATTTACTGAATGTTGATCCTAGACAATTAACAAATACCTTAAGTGGCAAAATGGGTAAGATACATCTGCAAGGCATGAAGGTTCAGTAAAATCAGACTAGAATTCAGCCATTTGTTTGATCCCATAAAAGTGTTAGGGTAACCATGTGGATTGAAATATTTACAGAATACTTCATTTTTACTATTTTTCTGACACAAATTATCAAATCATATATTTCTTTGATATTATGTCTGCTTACACACAAAAACTTTAATTCTATCAGTATAATTCAATAGTTAGAAAATATTTTGAAAACTTATGAGAATATAAACTATTTTTAATAATTCATTAAATCCATTTATATTTTCATCAAACTTGGTAAAAAAACTAGCTAATTTAGGTAATGTATGATCACAGACTGAAATGTTTGATGAAATTAATGCATCAAACAGATTGTTTAGCTTTGTCTGAAAATATTTTAACATCAGATGAGACAAGGTAGATTAAGAAATGTAAGATAGAAAACTTTATGCAAAATAAAACTAATTAACTTGTTTTTAAAACTTATATAATTTTATAACTACTCTTTGTTCTTCCGTAATTTGTCTTAAATATTATATTTTCTATCTTTTTCAGAAATATATTAGTTTTACTAGAAAGTGTTGCGAGCCAGCATAAAATTTTGTGTGTTCGTGCAAGACTTGCTGAAAAATTAGAATTCTTTAAATTTGATCCATACAGTAAGTAAAGTGACATAATATAATAATTTCTAAACATATAATCATACTAAAAACCCACTCTTTTAATATCTTACTATATTAGGAACGAGTACCAATTTAATATTAATTATTACCATTCTTATAAAATAATAAATCCTAAATCTTTTTACTTATATGTAATACTGATGTTTAAACAGCAATTATCAAATATATTCAGTTTTGAGAATTTTAATTGGTTTATAACAAATCTATTATTTTATTTTTTATTTATTACAAACATATTTTTGGTATTCTATTATAAATATGTTTTACTTTTGCCACATAAATAATTGATTTAAATTCTTTCTCACCTTGTATTTATTTTTGGGACTATTTCTTGGAATAATCAAGTTGAAAATCTATAATTAAATTGCAATCAGTTTATAAAAAAGGGTTTGTAAAATCGACCTGGTTGAAAATCTCTTTTTAATTAACGATAGTAATAGACAACGACATTTAGCCTATACTCTATATAGATACATTGTTTTTATATAATCTTATATAAAATTTATAAAATCCCTTTATAAAATCTGAGCATCACTGGTTATGGTCCATTTGTAGTTAAATAAAAATTTCCTTTAGTAGCTATTTCGTCCAAACTCTCAAGTGGAATATCAATGATTTGAAATATTGTAAAATATCAATTTTTTATACAGTAGCATTTCATGTTTACTATGAAGTTTGGAACTCATATTTATCAATAATAATAAATTATTTTAAATTTATTAAAACAAATTCTTGAAAATATATTAATCGTTTATACTTATTATGTAAGTGTAACTTGAATAAATAAATGTTAAGATATCAATTAAAAAATTCATTGATAAATTTTAATCCAGTAAAACTATATATATTTATGTTTTTATAATTTTACATTAAAATAATTTTTTTTCAGTTCAACGTAGTTCTCTCTATAAGGAAAAAAAGAAGATTAAAAGCCTTGGATAATTGGGAATTAGCATTAAAGGAAAAGTCAAATAAAATTTGTAATTTAAATTTTCATATACTTTTTAAATCATTTTTTATGTGTACCCAAAAATTCATTAAAGTTACTATTATTAAAATATAAAAGTTTTGAATTATATCATTCCCATCAATCTTAAACTTTTTAATAGTTATGTGTAAATAAAGTTTTACTTATAAATGTTTATATTTTATATTTTTTAATAAATATAGTAAAAAAAACTTCTTAAAATATTTCATAGATAATTGTATAAAATAAGAATATATTAATCAACATTTAATAGTTACTAAAACAATGATTAAAATTAGTTTATGTAGATAGATAAAATATTAAAGATTGCTATTTTAGTATTAAATAATTATAGTAGACAACTTCGCATCACTAGTTAATCTAAATTAAGCAAAGAATGTATATAATAATTCATCAAATTAATTTAATTGTAAAACAGGTTTTAGCCCAAGTCTATTTATTAGTAACTGCGAGTTACTTTCGGGTATAATGATTTGGGTATTTGCCCTCGTTAACTAAGGTAGAAAATTTGAAGAAAACTGAATTTATTAAATCTTAAATTATTATTTAGTCGTTATAAAAAATATCAATACTTGTTAATATTGAATATATGAATATAAATATGAATAATTTTATCATTCATTTTAGAAAATCAGTGAATACTGATCCAACTTCACTATAATTTATTTATAATGGTAACAGTATGATTTTTTATTATTCCACCAATCTGAGTACTTAAAAAAATTATTTAATACAGTTTTACGTATATTAATAGAGAAAAAAGAAGCGTAAAAGTTTTTCACTGTTATATATATCATCTGTACATTACTGTTCTTTTTCAAATATGCTAAGATAAGTAGTAAGAAATTCTTTTTTTTAATTATAGCTTATTTTTGGAAGCAATCGCAAGAGCATCTTACTTTAATTTTATTAGAATTTGAGATCTTAGTTTTACGGCTAATTAATATTAATAGTAATTAATAAGAAACATTAATAATAATTACAATAAAAATCCTGATAATTGAATTAATTTAAATAAATTTATTTAACAGAAAAGATTTAATAGACAAACGAATATCACGTGTAAAAAATTATAATAATATAATTGTAATAAATTATTGGAATTGCATTTGCTATGATACATGGTAGATTGTGAAGTAAAACGTATTTAAATGTCACTAATCACTTTTAGAGAATTTATTTTTAATCGAATTTAGAATTATTTCCTTATTTATAAATTCATAAACTTATTTTTTATAAAAAAATACATCCTAAATTGTTATATAATAATTTTTAAGGATTATGAGTTATTTAATTAAAGTATTTATTATTATTGATGTCAGTAATCCCTGCATTGTCTACCAGTTATTTATTTGCTTTTTACTATTTCTATGATCCTCTCTGAACTTCTACAACTCTTTTGAAATATATCACCCACTACATTTTATCATAATACGAATTGGCTCTAATATTTATTGCAATAATTTCTATTCTCTTTGAAGTAATATTCTAGAAAAACCTTATTGTTCTAATTGTGTACATTAACTTAATTTTAAATTAAATTATTTTTTTATTGAAAGTGTACAGAGAATAAGTGTAAAATTAGTTATACTATAAATATAACCATGCATTTTATTCAATGAACAGTCATTTACATATTTGGTTTATTGGGGATGACTCCACAATCTTTTTAAAGGTTAGTGAGGCTTCACGTCTTCTTCAGAAGTCTTAACGAAATTGTATATTGATCAAATATGTGTTCTCTATCTTTCTGTTTCACACCAATTTAGCTATATTATTTATATAATAATTTTTAATGAAAAACCAATATGTAAGAAGAAATTATTTAAAAAATTTATATATACAAATGATTAAAAGCCATCTCTTTATACATAAAAAATAGTAAACTTTATTCTGTTCATTAAATCTAATATAAATTAGCTTCCTAAATGTATTAAGTATTATTCTAAATATTTTTAATATAAAAAGCATTCAATTATTTAATTTACATGTTTTTTAGAATGACATTTTTCATTAAATTAAGGAAAGTACAAGAAATATAATAAATCCATCTATTTCATGGACTTGCTTGTATTATTCATTATTTATTAAATAAAATTTGTCTAATATCCTAATCCACTTTCTGCATATACCTAATAACTGATTTATATGTAAAAAATTCAAGATTTCCAATTCAAAAAGCTATCTTGAATAATAATTTGTTTAAATATGCTATGAGGATCAGACTGTAATATTTTTCTATTACGTTGAACTTCAAATACATATGACACTTTTTCTTTAGCTTCACTTTTTGATATATCACCTCGAATACCAAGTAGTCTAACTAGTTGATCATCAGTTATTTCTGGGTATTTTTCTACTAGTGAATGTAAATCTAATGAAAGTATTTCAGAATCTTCACAACGTAGTACTTCCGCTAATCGTTTAATTATTTCAAATGGAGAATCTAACTCTATCTTTGGTGCTATTTTTGAAAAAAAAGTTTTTAATTGATTTGCTTCATTTATTATTTTTGATGTACATGTCAAACATTCATCATAACTCTTTAATGATATTTTACGCTGTAACATTGCTGAAATATACCGTTTAGCAATTAAATTTTGTGCCTCTGTAATAATGTAGTTAAAATTTTTAGGTGATAGATGTTTATAATCTTGGAAGTAATCTTCCAATGTGACACATATTGTTTCTACTGGTATACACGATGATATCCATTTCATTGTTAGTAAATCATGAAAATGTAATTCCAAGTCTAAAAAAGATTCTTCTAGCAAAATCGCTGCAGCTTCATTACGAAGTTTTTGGTAATTATCGACAAGTTCTTCAAATTTAGAAGCAATATTCTTATTAGTATTTAGTACCCAATAAAGTTGTTTTACTTGTTGAGCTAACTCAATGAATTGTAAACAATTATTAACAATTGTGATCATATGGTGAGTAAAATATGGCACTTGGCTTCTATCTTCAAAATGCTTATTTTTAAATTCTAGAATTGCCTGTCGATATTTACATCCATAGTTAATTACTTGTTCAATACACAAAATAAGAGCTTTTGCTGTTAAATCTTTACTAATAGTTTTTGTGACTTGTAAATTTTGACTAATCATTTGAAAAATAATAACTGGAGCTGCTGTATGATAATAAATTTCATGTTCATTAGTTTCAGGTATTATTTTTCTTGACCAATCAATTTTTTCTGTTTCAAGAGTATTTTTCATCCAATCTTCATAATTTTGAGACATATTATTTAAATATTTATTCTGTAATTCATCTATAATTTCATTATTTAATAGCGATCCAATTTCCAATAAATTTATATTCAATTCTGGATGGCCCATCATTTCTGATCCATTGTATGTATTTATAATCCAAGATAGTAATGATACATATTCATTTCCTTCCAAACCATCATTTATAATATCTTTAAGATGTTGAGATAAACTAATATGATACATTTTGACAAATTTATTAGCAATATCATATGAAGGAGGAAAACATGGAACACATAATGTTTTTATTACACGCAAATCTTCCAAAAACAAAAGTCTTGTCAATTCAAGATATCTAACTAACCACATTTTATTGTCAGCTCTTTGGTCAATATGTGTACCTTCTATTCTATTACTTACAGATTTTTCTAATACTTTAAAAGCAATCTCTTTCCATTGCTTTGGCCTTCCTGGAGGAATAAATCCGCTTTGTTTATATCTTTGTAAAGCATAATGATCTGCTTTTTCTTCTCGCTCAATAATTCTTAAAACAGTCACTATAATTGTAGGTTCTTTTCTTACTGTATTAAGAGTTCTACTAAGAACTAATTTTATTTGTTTTTCCATTCGTTGAGAGAGATCTCCAATATCCTCAAAGTATGCTTTAAGCATAATTTTATCTACTGGTTTTTCATTTGGTAATTTATAAAGTTCATATAATAAATCATCTCTTGAACTTTCAAGATCCATTAGACTTTGATGAGCATGCAAAAGTTTACTTTCATTAATCCATTGTTTTGTTCTTTCAACACTTTCAGGTACTGTAAATATGTGTTTCAAGTTCTCTTTAGCAGTGACATACTGTGAATGACGTGTATTTTCATATTGAACTACATGTAACTTAGTATTAAGGGCAGGTACAAATGTAAATAGCTCTCCAATTGAATCCAATTTTTCTTTAATTAATTTTATACTTAACAATGAGCTTTGTAGCTGATCAAATCCAACTTGTACACCATCTAGTTGACTTTGCATAGCTGTTTTTAACATTGTTTCTACTGAAAATTTTTTTCGTCCAATTCTACGTTTATATTGATCAACCTTTTCTAAATGTCCAGGTCGTTGTAACATATTTATTACATGTTTTGTAGCAGTTTTTACTGCATTTTCTTCCAGACATCGTAAATCATACATTTTTCTTCTATTTTTTATTCATATAAAATAAAATAAATTGCTACTAAAACATTTATAATAGTCATTTACTTTTCTATTGCAGAAAAAGGGCACAGATTTAAGGCATGCGTAAAAGAGATTAAAGCTTATTGGATCTTATAAATTCACGTAATTTGAATGCGGACTAATATAGTATACTAATTAAGTATTTATAATAGTAATCCATTATTTAAAGAATACATTATAACGTACTATTTAATCTATGAATAATAATAAATTGAAATAATTTTATTATTGTATATTTATTATTTTATCAAAGGTCAATAATAATTTTATACATAAATTAATATTTTATCAAAATGTGTTTTTTATATATTTCTTAATTAAAACAAAATGAAAATCGTGTTATATGAATATATCTATGAGTTGTATGTATTTTTTTCTATTTTTTATTTAAATATAAATATTTAAATCCTAATATTCTTATTTCTTATTAAATACATTTGAATCGCAATATTTTAGATTGCAGTACAGTAGTTTAATAAATATAAAAATTAAATTTTGAATAAAATAATATGGTGATATTTTATTTCACTTCATTACACATATAAGTTATATTTATATTTTAAGTTATATATAAGTGAAAAAATTGTTTGACATTGAAAGACAATAGGTCAGGAAATTCAATGTATACAATTAAATGTATTTTTTTTTCATGATACATAAAAATAAATTATAAAGAATATTTACATATATTCATATTTAAAATTTCGTCGAAATAAGAAATGTGAGTAGAAGGTAGAAAAATATTATCGAAACTAAAACTAAGTTATGGCGCACAATTTGAAAAAATATTTCTAATTATAAAAATAATTGATATATTATATAACAATAATAACATATAAATGAATAAAATAATACTTGATAATTCTGCATTATTAATTATTAATAATGTTAAAGAAAATTAATAAAAATTATTATTAAAATTATAAAAAATTATCAATTCTTTTAGATAAAGATAATTAAAAGTAAAACATACAAAAGTTACAATAAATCATTATAAATTAAAAATATAACCGGTTTAAGAATAAAACTTAAAACATTGTAAAGATTACAAATCGTATTACCAAAATTTTGCATATCGAAGTAAAAACTATTTACTTTTACTATGACATTATTTTATATAATTATTTTATTTAATAACAAAGAATTCTTAGAAAACTAATATTTCATTAAAGTATAAAAGATGATTTTTATCATCTAACCAAATAAAATAATATTTTTTTATTTTATATGGTTTAGAGTATTATTATGAAAATATTTAATAAAATTTGTAAAATCATTTTTATAACATCTATATTTTTTCTATAGTTTTTCAATATTAATTTTCGATATTGTGTGGATATTGTCAAATTTACTGTAGATATCCTTTGGGTAATTTATTCAATCGCAAAATACTTAATACGTTATTGATGTTCTTAATGTTATTTTTGAAAGTTTATATCTACTATTATTTAATTTTTATAAATACCTAGCATTTATATAATTATCTTACATATATATATATATATATATATATATATATATATATATTATACTATAAATCTTAAATGATTTCTTAGTACCTCGAGCTTTTGGATTTAAAATTATTTTTCAAATTCAAAAAGTGTTGAATTGATTAGTAAATATTCTTATGATGATATATTTGTAACAGCTAAGTAATATAACCTAAATGACTATGAAAGATTGGAAAAAGAAAGAAAGTATTATTAGAACTCTAATACTTAATCAATACTGAGAAATAAAAATTGAGATTTACTGAAATTATAAAGCATTAGTCATTTGAAATTCGTTGTGATTTACGTAATGATCATATTGATTACTGAAAACTATAAAAATATAATTCATTATAATTATATTAATCTCTAAATTAAGTTGTATATACATCATAGTTGCTAGCATTAAGCCATATTAATAAAGTAAACAAATTAAAAAGAAACCAAGATAAAATCATTAAAAAATAGGATCTAGTTAAACGTAAAAAATTACAGTTTAAAAAATTTAATATCTAGTTTCCAACTAGATATAGAGCAAGAAATAGAAAAATATCTATTCAATAAGACTATTATTTTTTAAATTAAAATTTTACGCTTTTTTAGTGCAGAAACAATTAAATAAAAATTTGCATTTAATATTATACAAAGCACTAAGAAAATAATTGAAGAAAAATAGAATTGTTATGCTAATGCTTTATTCGTGAAGAAGACTACATAAAAGATTTATTTTGTAACAAAGTAACGTCATTAATTACATACAATCAGGAAAAATAATTATTGAATAAGAATTTTAAAATCTATATGTACTAATCGAATGAGTTGTATTTTTTTTTTAATTTCAATCTTATATTAGTAACCGAACTTTATTTTTCTTTTTGTTCTAATAATTTATCATCACATAAAAATATTTTCTCACTCTTCATTTTACTCTCATTTATACGGCTTATTTCGCTGAGTTATAATATCGAATCATTAAAAAATTAGAATAAATTTCGTTTTAAAATTCCTCGGTCTAAACTAACTTTTACACAGAAATGCGTTTAAATCACTAAAGCATTTTATTATCTCTAATTCTAAATATTCACATTATTATTTGAAACAATTAAATACTAAATCTTTAACATATTTTTTTTAAATATTTACTAAATTTTCGATATATTTTTGTTAAGTGTGTTATTACTGTATTAAAGTTTGTTTTATCTTTAGTAATGTATTTCTAGAAAAAGTATGTGAAATCATAGCGTAAATTTTTGCAATATAAATTTTAATATATTTGCACATGATAAGTAGTTGTACACTAATATCTATATTGTCACTAATAATTATTGTTATAATACATGTACTTACATTGTTTCCGGTTTTTAAAAGATTATCAAATATTAATAAAAACAATATTTTATTTTGTTTATTATAATATATTATCAATTATAGTGTTTAAAATGTAAGAAAGAAACAGTTCATACAATTATAAATAAAATAAAAAATTTATTAAATTTGTTAAAATTGCCACGACACTTAAAATTCCGCAGAAAGTAACAGCAAAATGTATATATATCAATGTTCGATGTATTTAAAATATGATTCTCTTTTGTTCTCTTATTTTTTGTTTAAAGTGTAATTTATTTGAAGATTTCCACTGTTTGAACTATAACCGATTTTTTGCATAGTTGCGACATTAATTAAAATATAAGCTAATAAAACTGATGAAAGTTCAATTTGTAATATAACATATATGTATGTTATTTATATAATATAAGATAACATTGTATATAATATTATGTTATTGTATAATAAATTAAAGTGTATTTTGAAATATTATTGTAAAACTAATTGTAAATCATGGAGTAATTATAATTATAGATGTATTTAATAATTTTATTTATTATAGATGTATTAAATAATTTTTTTCATTTATTTATTTCATCTTAAACAAATAGATATTATTTCAAAATTTTTTATTTTCTAAGCATCTTTAAACACCATTTTGAGTAAAAAAGTCATAATAATTATTATCATTATTAAGTATATATTTACAATACTATTAATAAATATTATTTAAATAATATGATTAATATTATAAATTTATATTAATATATATATTTGTATCTGTACGACAATGTATGTATTATTCAAACAATTTGTGTGTATATTTCATCACGTGAACATCTATGGAAATGTGTAAAGAAATTTATATAGCATAAGAATGTAAATAATATGAATTTTTAATCTAAATATTTGATTTTATTATTCTTTTTAGAGATCATATTATAAAATAAAATAGAATCACAAAAAATTTTATAATAAAATTTTGTATAATATAATGTATTTTTGTAAATTACAAATTTAAAAACTTGTTTATTCTCTATATATAAACTATTATTAGTATTTATTTCATATTATAAATTTGGATATATAAATTTATTTATATTCATATTATAAAGTTGAAATTGATAAACATGTTACTCACAACTATTAAAATGTATACTTAATTACTACTATAAACTATAATTATGAACACAATTTTATCCAAATTTAAGAATAATTTTTCTGTGTTTTTAAATGGTAACATAATATTTCTTGTTAGTAGATATAAATAATAATATATTAATAAATAAACAATAAAGTTTTTATAAGATCAATCTGGAGTTTCAATCAATATAATAATTGAAATCGTAGATACTAAGTCGTTTATAATGAGTTTATTTTAACTCTGAAGAAAATAATATTAATAATATTGAATGTTACTACAGTGTGGCAAGATCTCATTTTGAATATATAGTGTAATTAATAAGTGATTATTTTTAATTATTAATTGTAAACTATATAAAGTAATATTGTTTCATAATAGTTATAAAATATTTATTGTATTCTTTTGTTTAATAAATTATCAAGTCTATCATAATTTATGAACGAATAAATAAAGAATGATTAATAACTTTTTGTAAGATTGGTAGCTTTTATTCATCGGCATGTGTAATTAGAAAATTTTATAAGAATCTAATCATTATCATCATTATACTTTCAATATATTATAAATAATTATTTATTTCAAATAGTTTTTAGCAATTATATTTAACAATTTCTCATACTTTAAATGGAGCAACAATTTTATTTACAATTAATAATTGATTTTATTTTTTGAAAGTAAATATATTTATAGATCATCTATAAAAAATATAAATAAAAAGGAGAACAAATTTATTTTATGATTAATATTTGATATGCAATTTATATTTTAAAAATGTTAACAATATCCATATAATTAATGTAAAATTATTTTTATATTACTTTTAAATGATTAATAATTATAATTATTTATTTAATTATTTATTTATAATTATATTTATTTATTTTATTTATATTAATTTATTTATGTTTGGATTTAATTATTTCTTTAATAATATCATATTATTATTCAAGAAGCTTAGTGCATTATTAAAAATAAAGCATTCATTAAAGTTCAATATTGTATTAATTCAGGATTTTAAAAAAAGAAATTCTATTTCATATAATAGAAAATACTTTTCCTATCTTATAATTTGTTT